ACTAAGATGCCATTTCCTACACATGTGTCAGTGGAGGACCACAAGGACATATGCTGAAGCGGAAGTTAGTCCTAAAAGTGCTTAGTCTTTAGGTGGGAGAACTCTTTCCTTATTTACCTTCACTTTACAATGGCACTCCTCAACACATCCAACTCCCCTCTCTGATCGCTACCAGGATCTTATGTTGCTAGACACATTCTGGGAGTCTTGGTGTGGTACTGTAGGATAAACACTGGACTGCTAAAAGTAAGATCAATGGTTCAAACCCACCAGTCATTCCTTGTAAACCATATACCAAGTTGCTATGACTCTGAACCAACTCTATGGCACTTGTCAACAACAACAAACACATTTTGAGTGCATGAAAGAAAGATAAAAGAAAAGAAAAAATTGAAAGAAATAACAAAAGAAAGGAAGAAGGAATAATCAACCAAAAGTTTATTAAAGGGACCATGATATGATGATGAACTAAAAAACAAAAAGAAACATTCCTGTTGAGAGACAACAGAAATGAGTTAGTAGTTTAGAGGAAAAAAGAAGAAAGGATTTCCAAGATACAGAACAGGAATATTTAGAGATGCTTGAGAATAGAAAGTCTCTATCTTTATCCACAGTCACTGTTAAACTTTACAGATCTGACTAATTTAAATACTGAAGCAAAATTCTGAGAGTTTTTTTGTTTTTTTTTCTCATTCTTTCCCCTCCTACTGACAGCTATTTTTTAAATATCTCTTGCTTCTGGTTTCTACCATCAACCACAGTGTTTTTTTTCATGGTCCTGGCCCTAATCTCTGTGCCATGATACTGTGTCTTCACCTAGTCAAATCCACCCTGTACATATTACCGAAAGATTTACCAAATTTGATCATAAGCATATCCTGCTTGGAATACCTTATTGCACTCTGGCTGAAATCCACATCCTGAGTATCACATCCAAGGCCCTTAATGGTATGAAAGTGACCTATCCAAATAGTTTTTATGCACAGTATGATTCTGCTAAATTGAAGTACCTGCAGTTCCTCAAAAAAGGTGTTTTGCTGGAAATTGGTGGGCATCTGGATATGTTGCCCCTCTGCTTAGACTATACTTTTTGCCCTTCCTTGAACTGGCACACTATCAGTTACTCTTTGCACCTTCTACTATCCATTCAACCCTAGCTGATCACTTCCTCCTTCATGCCACAATGCTATAACACCTCCATCATACTACATTTTGATTGTTTGATCAAATATTTGTTTTCATGACTAAATAGTGGGCTTCTGGTGGGTAGGGACTTTGTTCCTATGTTTCCTTGTGCTCTTAGTGTCTTTGACAATGTTTGTAACAGAATTAAAACGAAAAGAAAATTCTTTTTGTTAGAGAGACTCTATTAATAAATTAGGGCACTTTCTATTGAAATTGTCATAAAAGTTGACCCGATTTAGCTTAAGAGAAGAGGTAGTTTACTGGTTGATATAGGATTAAAAAGTTCGTGACTATAAGTGGACCGAGCTCAGAAAAAATATCATTAAGAATGGGTTTGTTTGCATCTCTTTGTTTTGACCCTCCCACAGTTTCATTTAAGTTGTTCTGTCTTCAGATTTAAAAATTTTATGGTAGCAAGAGAAGATTCAAACTGCAGCCTTTTTATTGCTTCAAATTTAAGTACAGCAGGAAAAAAAAAAAAGAAATGTCTTTTTCAGAAATGCCAGTTAAAACCACCAAGGACATAGTATCTCTAATGACGTTATGTGCCCTGACCAAAACCTCTGACCAGGAAATGCTCTACTTTGACTGGTGTAGACTGGATTTATATGGGACAGTTCTGGAATTAGCTTTCCTGAAAGCACATTACTGAGACCGGCCAAGGCAGAGGAGGAGTTAAAGCGTTATTAGAAGGAGAATGAAATAAAGTTGGGTGACAGACACAACAGGAGAGTTATAGGCTAGATTAAGAGATTTTTTTCCCACATTCTTTTCAACCCTAGATATGTGAATTTAGGAGCTTTGGTTTTCACTTGTTTCTAGTTGCCAAATCAGAAAACTCATCTTCTTCTTGGTTTTAGTTTAGCAAAAATGTTATATTTGCTCATTTTGATAATAAAATTACCTTTGTGATATCAAGACAAAGAATTATTTTGATCAATACACTCAAAATTACCAATTCAGATTACCTAATAAATAATGGTAATTTAGGAGGGGTAGAACTAGTGATTTGGTCATAAAGTTTTCAAAAAATTAAATGTATCTTTCTATTACTATGTTTGCTGTATTGGTTGTTCCAGTTATCTGTTGTTACTTATTATGGATCAAATTGTGTTTCCCCAAAATACATGTTATAAATCCTAACCCCTATGCCTCTGGATGCAATCCCATTAGGAAATAAGTGTTGTTTTTTTAACCGTATTAATAAAACTAGAATAGTGTAGAGTATGTCTTAAGCCAACCAATTTTGAGATATCAGAAGAGCAGATTAGGCACAAAAACAAGCAAGAAAGAACAGATGGGAGAAGATGCCAAGTCACATGAAGACCACTAAAGAACCAAGGAATGACATCTGAAAAGAGACAAGTACAATCCCCCAAAGTCAATAGAAAGAGGAAGTCTTCCCATAAAGAGAGTGCCCTGAATTTGGACTTCTAGCCCCTAAATCAGGAGAAAATAAATTTCTTCTTGTTAAAGTCACCTATTAGTGACATTTCTGTTATAGTAGCTCTAAGAAACAAAGGCAGAATGAAAGGATTGAAGTTGTCAAAGACTTCATTTTGCTCAGATCAACCAACAAGACTCACGGAAGCAGCAGTCAAGAAATCAAATGACATATTGCATTAGGCAAATTTGTTGCACAAGATCTCTTTAAAGTGTTTATTAGCAAAGATGTCAGTTTGAGGACTAAGGTTCACCTCACCCAATAAAGCACAAGTAAACTTCTTTCTTTTATTTCTACTTTCAGCCAAGATCCTGACCAAAGCCATGGTATTTACAATAGCCTCATATGCATGTGATATTTGGACAGTGAATAAGGAAGACCGTAGAAAAATTGATGCATTTGAGTTATGGTGTTGGAGGAGAATATTGAAAGTACCATGGACTGCCAAAAGAACAAACCAGTCTGTGCTGGAAAAAATACACCCAGAATGCTCCCTGGAATCCAGGGTGACCAAATTTCATCTCTCATACTTTCAACATATTGTCAGGAGGGACCAGTCCCTGGAGAAGGATATCATGTTTGGTTAAATGGAGGATTGGAGATAAAAAGGATGACCCCTAACGAGGTGTATCAGCACAGTGGCAGCAGTGATGCACTCAAATGTAATAGAGATTGTGAGGTTGGCTCAGCATCAGCAGTATATCATTCTGTAGTTCTTAGGTTCACTATGAGTTGGTACTGACAGGCTGGCACTTAACAGTAATATCTGGGGATGTAGTCCATTTGGGAATATGATTTTCTTTTTTATATTAATGAGACAATGTCAGTATAGGGTGTGACAGATTTGAGACATACAAAGAGAGAAAGCACAGAAATAAGCAAACAAGCACAGGTAGGGGACAACAGATGCCTCCCCACTAGGAGATGGCCACGGAACTGAGGCACTGAAGTTGAGAGAAGACAAGAACCTTTCCCTAGAATGGCCACACAGAGAGTCTAACCCTAGAATTGATGCTTTGAATTCAGTTTCCTAAACTGTAACAAAACAAATTTCTGTTCATTAAATCCATACACTTGTGATATTTCTATCATGGTGTTGTTATTAAGTGACATCGACTCATAGCAACCCTGTATAGGGTTTCCGAGGAGCAGCTGGTAGGTTTAAACTGTCAGACTTGTGGTTCACAGTCCAGTGCCGATCCTATAGCGCCACCCCAGTAGTACATATTATGTCCAACAAGTTACTCTAAAATACAGTTTAAAAACAATTCATTATGATTGTATGCCATGATTCTGTGACCAAGAATCTGAATAAGGCATAGTGGGGATTGCTCACCTTAGGCCAAATATAGTCTGTTTTTATACAATTCCTGAGCTAATATTAGATTTTGAAATTTTATGACTGAAAAAGATTAAAAGAAAAGTGGCATATTAATTGAAAACAAACAAAAGAATAATATTTAATGTCAAGTGCAAATTACATGAAATTTGAAGTCCACAAACAAAGGTTTATTGGAACACAGTTTTGCACAATTTTATAATATAGTCTAACTTTTCATATGTAGAGTTGAGAGTTGCAGCAGAAATGACATGGCCTACAAAAGCCTACAAAATTTACTATCTGACACTTGACAGAAAAATAGACAAACTCTAATCTATATGAGGTTTCTAAGTGATTACGTTAGGCTTCCTGATGGCATGGCAGCCTCAGGGTAGTTGAGTCCTTCCTTGGTGGTCCAGGTCTTTATGTGTGAGTATTCTATGAGAAAGGAAGTGGAAACTGCCAGTTTCTTTTGGCCTCGGCCTGGAAACTGGTACAACATCAGTTCTGCCATATTCTACTCTTCCAGTAGTCTTAAAGGCCCTACCAAATTTAAGGGAAGGAATGCCAAAGAATGTGTAGCCATCTTTTATCTACCACACAGCTACAATCACAGAAGAAATATTTGAAGGCTGAAAGGGCTCTTGTTGAATTAGCTGCCCCCAAGTTAATGAACCTTTTCTTAATTACAGTTCAGTTATGAAAGTAATAAACTCTCTTTGCCTTGATTTCCAACTTGAAAATTTTTTTTTACTAGTTTTATCTAGACTTCATTTAGCTTGGAAATCAGAATCAAATGTAGAAGTAAAGATTTTATAATATAATTGCTCTCAGGCCTTTGGCCTCGCTTTAATAAGCTTTAAAAGTTTTTGGTTTGATCTTACAATACAGTAGATTCATTATTATGTCAAATGTCTCCAAAGTTGAAAACTGATTTCCTTTCTATGAAGAAATTGTGGATTATTAAATAGCAGTTCCATTGATTTTCTAGTTCTTGGCTACTAAGAATTGTGTCTACCCAAAATATGCGTTGGAATCGTAGCCCGGTACCTGTGGACTGACTCAGTAGCGGCAGCAGTGAGCTCAGCCGTAATGATAGTGAGGATGGTGCAGGACAGGCAGCGTTGCATTCGGTTGCGCACAGGTTTGCTATGAGTTGGAACCTATTTGTGGGTGACTAACAACATAAGGAACTCTAGTAGCGTAGTGGCTACGAATCGGGCTGCTAACCTCATAGTCATCAGTTTGAAACTACCAGCTGTTCCCTGAGAGAAACCTTGTACAGGGTTGTTATGGGTCAGAACCGACTCCACAGCACATAATCACCACCAATAGCCAGCTACTCCTCACAAACCCTATAGAGAGTGTCTGTGGGTTGGAACCTACTCAAAGGCACTTAACAACAACAACAATAGCCCTAAGAGAGTCTCTGAGTAGGGCAAACGGTAAAGCACTTAACAAATCCATTGAAGCCATTGCCATCAAGTTAATTCTGACACATAGGGACCATGGAGAACTTCCACATAGAATTTTCAAAGCTGTGATCTATAGAGCAGACTACCGCATTTAAAATTTTCCCCCAAGGAGCAGCTGGTTGATTATGAACCACTAACTTTTCAATTAGCAGCCAAGCACTTCAAACCCACCTAGAGGTGACCTGAAAGAAAGATGTAAAGAAAGCTCTAAAAGTGCTTCTAAAATTTGATCACAACCTTGAAAATGCTATAAAGTGCAGTTCACTTTACAACCATGAGTTGGAATCAACTCAGTGACAACTAGCTTGATTTTTAAAAATAGTTCTAACAGCCAGTCTGAGCCAGCATATTACATATGAAGGCAATGTGCAGTGATGCTAAACTCAAGTGCCATCCACAGACATCACAGCATTCTTCAAGATGATGGTTCTCATGAAGCTAAACCCAAACCATATATGGTTCTTGAATTTCTGAACATGAGGTTGAAAAAATGGTCTTGCAAATTTCTGAAACTCTTGTTTAAAAGTGGTTAAATAGGGTTTAAACTGCTTTTGAAGGTGAACTGGATTATTCTATGAAAAAGTTAGCATTTAAAATTTTATCCTTCTTGGTGGTATTAAATGTGAGTAAGAAACTATCTGAAATGTCATCCATCTGAGACAGTGTTCTGTTGTTCAAATCATTATCTAATTAAACTAATGTATGGGTTCTGTTTAAATTGAGAATTCCCCTTAAATAGATAAGAAAAATAGTAGCAAAGTGTAGTCAGAGAGTCAAGTGGCCAGATCAAGAATAAAAACAAGGTCTTCTGGTTCCTGGAATCACAGGGTACATTGTCTGAAGAACTAAGATTTCTTGACTCCTTCCATGTATAGAATACTATATTAGATGCCCAACATGTCATCTAATCGAACTCACATTGCAATCTGTAATGCCCGCCATTCTATATTTAAGAAAATTTAAAAGCTAAATAACTTTTTATAAGGCCTCAAAACTTCGTGGCAGTAGACACATTTTTAGGAAAGGAAGCTAACCCCACAGCATATGCTCTATACACTATAAATTACCTTTATCTTGATTTCAGACTTGAAAAAAATTGACTTTTTTCATCTAGCCTTCCTTCAGTTTGGAAACCCATTACGGTAGAGATTATGCATATCCACCACAATTATTTATGTGCTAAAGTTTCCTCATGTAGGATAAAGAAATGCACCTCTTTTGTGCATTCATTTATTTACTCATTTATACCATCATTCACTTATTTGCTAGTAGACACTTACTTATTGGGCACCTTCTAGAAGGCTGACACTCTTCTCAGCTTCAGTGATTCAAAGGTGGGGAAGACAAACAAGGCCATCAATCTTGTGGAGCTTACACTTAACAGGGAAAGGCAATAAAAAGCTAGTAAATAAATAGGCAAGTAAAAATAGCACAATGATTGGAAAAGTAATGAGGAAAATGATTAACAAAGTGAGATGAGATGAGGTAGAGAATGGCAGAGTTCTTATTTAGATTGCTAGGGAAGGCCTATCTGTTGAGTTGCTACCTAGAAATGAGACAGATGTAGAGATGGTGAATAGAAAGGAGAGATCACTCTTCAAGTAAGCGGCATATGTCACGCTCAAGGTGGAATCAAGACAAATATGAGCGAAGCACAGAGTAAAAGGAGTCCCTGATATGTACAAATGATTATTACCCTGAAGGTTGGAGGTTAGTATCTATCCTGAGGTGCCTTGAGAGAAAGGCCTGATGATATCCTTCAGAAAAAATCAGTCATATGGAGCACAGTTCTACTCTGACCTACCTACATGAGATCAGCATATGTGAGTAAGTCAGAATGGACTTTATGGCAACTGTGTTTTTATTTTTAAAAATAGAGTAGAGAGCGTCATGTAAGGTAAGCTGTGAAAGCCAGGCAGGGGTTGGAACTTACATGATTTTATGGACTCTGGTAAGAGTTTTTGGATTATATTTGAATTGCAAATAGAAACTTTGAATACATTTCATGCAGAGACATCTTTACATTTTCAGAAGCTCTCTCTTGCTACAGTATGGAGAATGGCTTTGAGCACAGCGAGAGTGGAAGCCAACAGACAGGTTAGGAGGTTGTGTCAGTACTCGGAAAAGAAGGGATGCCACGTACACATGATGGTAGAAGAAATAGAGAGAAGGAAGGAGACGTGGTTGACATACATTGCAGAGACAGAGGTGGAAAATCCATTTCTGGATGGGATTTGGCAGCTGGAGATGATAGTGAGGGACTGAGAGGTAGAGAGGAAGGCAGATGGCTTCATGATTTCTGACATTAAGTAGTTGCTGGTGTCCTTTATTAAGATAGGAAAACATGCTGGTATAGGGGATTAGGTTGGCAGAAGGAAAATTTCACAGTTCTGGTTTAGACATGGTTGTTGTTTTTGTTGTTGTTAAGTGCCATCAAGTCAGTTCTGACTCATAGCAACCCTGTATAGGGTTTCCAAGTAGCAGCTGATGAGATTGAACTGCCAACCTTGCACTTCAAACTGACTTTGTGGTTCAGTGCTTATCATATAGCACTGTACCAGTCTGTGAAATATGCCTTGTCATTTTAGGCAAAAAGAAACAGGGGCACAGAGGCAAAGTTTAAGCCAAGAATCAAAAATAAGAAAGGATATTCAAATTCTTAGAAATCTGTAGCATTCCATTTATGGGAGTCAATAAAATAATCTAGGGAGAAAGTGTTGAGAGAGAAGGAGGCCCCAGACTGTATATTTTGAAATTGGATAAAAGAGGTTAGGTCTTAAAAACCTGAAAATATAATTACTTCTCATTCTAGAAGCTTTTGTAGTGTTTATTGGCCTTGAAGTCAGGAATGTACATTGCTTACTTCTGTTCCTTGAACTATACAGAATTAGAACTATTTATAAACCAAAGCATTTTAAGGTAGAATGCCTTTGGGTTGGGTACAAATTCTTATACCAAAGAATAAAGGTCACATTTAAATGTCGTTTACTATATGTGAACGAGGGATACATTTCTTTAGTAATTTGGGCCTGTTTACCTATCTGATAGAATGATGCCACTGATAATATCTATCTCATAATGACACTGGTTAAGTCAGAAAAGTCATGTGAAATGCTTACATTCTTAGCACTACATGCACAATGCCTGGCATGTAGTAAGCATTGAGTATACTACTATCACTAGTCTCTAAAAAAATTGAACTGATTACAATTGAAACTTGTTTTTGAATAATTTACTTTTTTTTTTTTATCTTAGAGAATTACACAGATATGAGACATTTTTCCGTTTCCATTTCAGTGTATGAATATAGTTTTATCTTTACATTGCTTAGTTTACAATTATCTTTTGTTCTCCTGAACAACTACTACTTTGTAGAGTCATGTGGAAAAAGTCTGATAGTTTCTTACAAAGTAACACATAGGTTTACCATTCTATCTAGCATCATAGGCCAGGATAATTAACCATATGAGTAGAAAGCATATATTTACATCAAAACCTGCACACAAACGTTTACAAATGCTTTATTCTTAAATGCCCCAAAGAAGTCCTTCAATAGGTGAACAGGTGAAAATAAAAACCCTGCCACATCCATACAATGGAATATCATTCAGTGATGAAAGACACAAGCTATAGAGCTATAGCAGTACATTGAAGAACCTTAAATGCATATTGATAAGTGAAAGAAGCTAGTTTGAAAAAGCTACCTACTATTTGATGTCAATAATATGACATTCTTGAAAAGTAAAAACTTTAGAATAGGTAAAAAGATCAATTGTTGGCAGAGGTTCAAAGAGAGGGAAGAAAAATATGGGGAACATAGGCTACTTTAACGCAATGAGATGATTCTGCATGATGCTGTAATGGTGCATACATGATATTAAGCATTTGTCAAAGCCCATAGGACTGTACAACACAAAGTGTGAACCCAAGTGTGAACTATAGACCTTGTTGTTGCCCTTCTTAGGTACCATTGAGTAGGTTACAACTCAGTGACCCAATGCACAACAGAACAAAACACCACTCAATCTCACATGGTTGTTGGAGGATGGACTTTAGTTAATAGCATATATCAATACAGTTATAACAAATGAACCACAGAATTGCAAAATAACAGGAGAAACAGTACACAGGGGGAGAAGGGAATAAGAGAACTGTCATAGCCTTCTGAACAATTTTCTGCAACCTTGAAACTTCTCTATAAGTAAAGGGTATTTATATATATATACATACACATATATACACACAAAAAATTCACAGAAAAATTAAAATAAACTCCTACCCTTGGTGGAGTCCTGATGTGGCATTGAATAAGCACTGGACTGCAAGGTCAGTTTAAAACTGAAAGGACAGCAGTTCAAACTTACCAGCTGCTCCTCGGAAACTCTGTACACAGTCATTGTGAGTTGGAACTGACTCGACAGCACTTATCAACAACAAAACTTTCTCTAAATATTAAATATCTTAGCAGTTTACAAAAAAAATAAACTGCCAAAATTATATAACAGGAAAAAAAAATCACAAATATTGTGCTTCTATAAAACAAGTAACTTTTTACAAGTAATATTATTTTGCAACCAACAAAATCTAGTACTTGACAATTATTTGAAAGAAAACTAAGATAATCCCAAAGACCTAAATATATCCTTCAGATTTTG